TTTAGGGCTCCAGAGGCTGTGGAGTCCGGCCCTGAGGGGGACCGTTTGGAGGAGTCACCTGCTGGCGTTGCCTTGGCGAACATGCCGTGCAGCTACACCATCAACCACACCACATCGACCCCGCGCGGACGACCGTGCGTCCCTGAGAGTTCATGTGTCATCGCCGGCCGGACATCCGAATGCACGGATGGAGCCATCCGATGGATTCCATCCGTTCCGATGGTCTTGCTCTGTGCTGGTCGATTTCCGGATTTGGGACATGTTCGGATCAAACCGCTTAGAACACGTTAACCGGTATTGTGGCTCTTAACCCGGCCATACCGCTTGTTCCCTCCAAGCGGTCGTCCATGTTGTTGGGTAGCCCAGGCCGGTCACCGTGCAGCCTCCGGCACAGATCCGAGCCGCCAGCGCTCCTCAGGCGGACACTGGACTGGGGCGGAAAAGGACGTAGTAACTAAAAACCATGGGAGTCGAAGTGGCTTCTGGTGAGCACGGGCAGGCCAAGGTCAGAGTTGTTGATGAGCCAAATGCCAGTTGTGCCCATTCTGTTTCTGCTACAGTTAGGTGTGTATGCCCAGGTCAAGTAGTCCGGATGTGGCTGGAGATGCTTTTTTCTGTACGAGAGTGGGTGTGAGATCCTGGAAGATGTTAAATCTTGTCCGACGTTTGTCCTTGGTTGATGCTCCCAAGCCCAAAAATTGTTGAGTGAATGGATCATAAGATTTCAGCACGACAAGCCAAGCGTTTTGTTTGCAGTGCCTTTTCTGCCTCTCTTAGAGTGTTTTGCACCGTGGACGGAGAAGCATTTAAAGGCATTTAACTTGTCGGAGTCAATTCTTGATGAGTGTCGTCCAGCACAAAGAACTGATGCTTCTCACCCAAACCAACCTGAAATTCCGGAAAGAAAAGAAGCACTATCACTCCTTTAGGCTCCAAAAGATAGGAGACCTTTCATCCAAGAAGGACAAAATGCTTCACTGCCACCAAGCGATATATGGTCCCAAATCGGTGTCAGGTGGGCCTCCATCAGCGGCAGATGCTGTCAGCAGCTCAGGGGTTGGGTGGGTTGGGCGGGTTGAGCTTGTGCCATCAGAGATCGGACGTAGCCACTTTGCTGGAGAGTACTCACTGAGGTCAAGTCGTGACTCCTGCGAGATGTCCACAGCTATTTGCATACCAATCTTTCCTACATGCCTCCCCCGAGCCAGATTCACCAGATCAATGCATAAACTCTCTTGGCACGGTGAAGAAACCATGAACCAACTTCTTCTCAGACCAAGACCCCCACGGAGATCAACTTCTTGTGGTACCGTGTTACTGTTTTCAACCGAAATGAAAGACGCGCCAAGAAAACACGTCACGCTTTGCGGAGCTTGAGGCCCAAGAGCCATGCGAGCGCGTCGGAGCTGGCCTTGGCATCGCCCAGGTGGACCGGCCAGGTGGGGCGGATGGCGCATCGCTGGATGAGGAGGTGACGAGGTCGTTGACAAGGAGGTCGTTGGTTCCTTTTCTCCATTGCTCTTAGGTTGGAGGCCGCTATTGTTCCTCTCCTTTTGTGACACATGTTCGTCAAGTGGATCTTCTTTTCGTCTCCGTGGGTCCTTGGATGTCCTTCACAGCTGAGACTCTTCGGGCGTGAGGCAGATGGATGACAGGGTCAACCGGACGCGTAAGTCAGATAGCTGAGATGTGTATCCTTCGCACATGATGAAGGTCCTCTCAAAAGCGACTTGCGTTGTGATGCGTTTCCAGCTACCAGTCCAATTTCTCCGAATCACCTGGGTTGAGTAGTCACCTACCTGTCCTTCCTAGAAGCATTGTGGTGTGGAAAAGACATCCCAGCAATCTCATTGGTGAAGAAACTAGTGAGAGACTTCTGTGGAGGGGCTTCACAGAATGCCTTTTCTGCCTTGATTCTGTCCACGACAGGCCGCGCAAACCTATGTGCCAGTCTATGCGGCCTCTTTGGCATGTCGGTGCAAAGCTGGTTGAGTCAGTGGTTGACCACTGACTCATTCACAGACTCGGTGAAAGCACAAGACATTTCTGCGATCGCCGCTGCAACATATCATGGGCAAGAATCGCCCACATCCTTTCGTTGAACAAGCGTTCGTATGCCGAGTCTTCTGAAGAGTGTGGAGAATGACCAGCAGTTCCCCCACAGCAGTGCGGTATATCACCGGGCTGTTGTTTGGGGCATCACTCATTGCTAATGGGAATGCTATTCTAATGGACTAACCGAGTTTCGGGGCTGGCTCAAATGACCAGCAAAAACTCCTTGCAGCCAGGCATCACCAAACTTCTTGCTGGCGCCTTATGTGGCCCGCGGCCAGCTCGACTGGCAAGCATCACTTTTTTGACAGTCTCAAGATTCCCAATAGTAAGGAGCTGCTTGATACTTTCATGAGGCACAGCCTTTGGATTCTTTTGATTCTTTTTGGGTGTGTGGAGCAGCTGGGGCAGCGAGCATACTTGCAGGGATTCACTGAAGATCGTCACAAACACTTTGTAGGTGGAAGTAGGACCTCATATTTATCATAACATAGAGTTGCATTCAAAACCCCGTTGTAAGGATTTTATCAGGAGTTGCACCAAACACTTTTAAAGAAAGGATTTAAGAAGCCGTCGTCCTGCACGAAATTTGGTTGACTGCAGTTAGGGTCTAAGGTTTTTATACGGGGTTTTGCATGCTGCTCACACGAAGAACGTGTACAATATTGTAACACATTTTGCAGAGCATATAATTCCAAGCTCGATTTGGATACTCTTTGACCGCAATTGACACCAAATTAGTTGCCCTAACTTACAATCCAACGCCACTCCCATGTCAGGCCTCGTCTTTCCACGTCTCTTCCACGTTTCTGTGGTTTACACCGAACACCCGCTCCATGAGCCTCTGTTCGGTGTCGTTGTGCTGGTTCTAATCAATCATTAGAATCATTAGGTGGATTTATTTGGTGGATTTCTTATGATTCTTGCAATTTGATGGTAGGATGAAGAGAGGCATTGATGCTTGTAAAGAGAATCTTCTCTGAATAGCGGGGTTTGTTGAAGTGAGCGACGAGCAGAACCACCAAATCAGCAGTTTGCGAGGGATGAAATCTCCGTTGTTTTAATCAATGTTGCAGTAATGAGTGGTGACATTCTCAGGTTCAGTTTCCCTTGCAACTACCGTGTGCAGAAGGGAGTTTGTTGAGTTTGGTTGAAAGTAACAAGCGCAAGCGTCGCAAACAACGCTTTAACTCTTCTTCTTTCCTTCCGTCTTTTCTTCATTGGGCCTTTAGACCATTTTTTCTGCTGTGTTCTTGTAAACTTTTGGGAAGATGCCCAACGATTGTCAGTAACTCCCGTGGAGAGCTGTGAAGTATTTTTTCTTCTGCGTTTGATCCTCCAAGGCCACTGGCCTCGCGGAGAATCCCGATGACCTCCTTCGAGGCAAGCCGCGAGTCGATTTCCAGCTTCTCCAAAGGGTGACAACCCTGCCCTAAGAAGACTCTCAACATGAAGATATTGCTTTATGTCTTTATGTCTTGGTTTTCATGTCTCCTGATGCCAGGATCATCATGCTCTTTGAGAAACACGAAGCAACACCAATTGACAGATAGTTGACTAGATGGGCCAACGTGGACTCAGTGTTTCCATTTAACACCTCTCCCCCTTTTCATGTCTTCTGTGTCTCAGAACAACCACTGTTCACCTGCCTGAGCACTGTTTCTCTGTTCATCGTCTTCCCGCAGGGGAGCACCATTTTCTTTCCTTCGCCGCAGAGCGCCGGCACGGAGTCTCCTGCACAGGGGGTGAGGCAGCGGAGAATGAAAGCAAGCAAACAAACATCGGAGTGGAGGCGTTCGTCCACCGCCTGCAGGGTATTTGAATCAGTTCAAACATGCAATTGTTCGCCCTTTTCAATGGAGACAAAGTGTTGGCAAGAGCTAGCAAGGGGTGGACCTCTCCACTTAACAAACCAACCATCCAGAAACGAGCCAACGGTGCTGCAAAGGTCCATTTAAAAGACAAACATGTTACCAACCCAAGACTTTCAAAAGGTTACATTTAACCATGTTACCAAAGGCCGAACACTTGCGACCTCCATGGCCGACCTCCAAACTCGCCAGGGCTTGGCTCTCGTCACCACGCCTGGCGCCCGCCACGCCGGTGCCGCCCCTCACGCCGCCCGTGCCCCTCACGCCCCTGGCGTCACCGCGCCTGGGCACGCCACGCCTGGCGCCGCGGTGCGCGCCGGTGACGGCGCCGGTGACGGCGTCCCCGGCGGCGACGCCTCCAGTGCCTGGCCCAGGTGCGCAGCGTCTAGGGCCTAGGGATGTGCTTTTAGGTGCTTTGGGATGGGGATAGGATGGAACTTTCACAGCAGTGGATTTTGTTTTGACGGATCTTCAACGTTGAAGACAAGCGTCACTCTTGGGGTGAAGGCTGTTCACTGAACATTGTTGGTTCCAAAGGTTTGTTGTTTCCAAACCATCGGCCGGTTCTTGCCGCGGTGTGTCATTCCAAAGTCCAAGAGTCTATGTTGGCCTACTGTAGATCTGCTGTCTTGGGTGCACGCCTAGTGGCTCTTCTTTTCATGTGTCGGTAACACGGCTAGATTGGCTCAGTTTTGGAAACATTCCAGTGCAGAGGCAATGGCTCATAAGCCAATCAAGAAGGACCCCAACGAGCATGTTGCACTGCTATCCTTTAGTTGAATGAGACTTGCACCCGTTTTTTCCAAGTTTTCACCAAGACCCGTGTATGAGCGCAATGGCGGGCCAAGCGCAGGCGTGGTGCACCTGCTGAGCATGATAGCATATGATAGCAACAAAAAGACTGAAATCAACTGAAGAGCTTCTTGTTACTACAAGTAAGGCACTTGTTACTAGTAGCGATGCACTTGTTCCTAGTAGCTTCTTGTTACTACTAGTAAGGCACTTGTTACTAGAAGCGATGCCCTTTGTTAGCAACTGGCCTTAGCGATCCCATGTTTTCGACCTCGTATTTTCACCGAGAAAACCCCGGTTGATCCCAATGACTCGCTGACCCACCTGGGGTCCTCCCTCTATGGCGCCCTCACGGGGGATGCGCTCAGCGGTGCTGGGGGAAGCGACCGTGCTGCAGTGGCGCGCGCGGTGGCTGTCAGAGATGCTGAGAGCTTGGAAGGACGATGTGACGATCGGAGATGTTGGACGAACTAACGAGACGAGGGCATGTTGACAGCTATTTTTACAATTGCAGATCCAGGGGTAGCCTTGTAGAACAATTTACCACAACCATTCAGAACCACCATCACTGTGGTCACTGATTTGTGCACTGACTTGTGCAGCTACAGCGGAGCTACAGTACAAAACAGTATAAAATGGTACATGAATCCTATCGATCCCATTGTTGATCGCGGTCCCATCAAAGTCGCTGGAAGCCTTTTTCATGGCAGGTGAACATCTACGGGAAGATCTCCGTGCTTTTAATTGGTTGAACTGGGGTATACTGGGGTACATGGTTTTAACGCAGAATCTATGTGTGTGGGGAGAAGGAGAAGAAGAAGAAGGAAAAGAAGAAGAAGAAGAAGGAGAAGAAGGATGATGATGTGGGACCAACGTGGGGCTCATTGGGGGTGAAGCCCTTCCCACCTCTTCAGGAAGCTGTGAGCATACTGCAGCGACGTCTTTCACTTGAACCGTGTTGCTCGGCATTCAGCCTCCACTCATAGTTGTGTCGCTCTCTGAGTTTCCGAAAGAATTTTCAAGAGTTACCAGCGCCTCTCAAGATTTGTGGGGCTTTCCAAGCAAAGGGCTCATCAGGGCCAACCCTCTCAAAAGGATTCCACCTCTCAACAGCTCAAACCTGCCAGTCAGCCGTTGACTGTGATTCACTGATCATCGACTTCAGGTTCTTCCAGAGTGCAAAGTTTACGCTCTCAGCGGTTCTTTCGACACTGGCTACAGAGCTACAAGCCTCCTGGCCGGAATGTGCTGTCAAGGCATTTTAGGAGGCTTTTCTAGCAGATTTTGAGCATGAACAGAGAAGGGGAGTGAATGTTTAGGTGTTCCTTTGGGGAGGTTGGACAGCTGGCTGAACACACAATCTTTTTCTCCAACCTTCTGGCTCTGCATAAAGCATCTTAACACACCCTCTGCGAAGAAGAAGAAGCAGAAGAAGACGTAGGAGAAGAAGAAGAAGGAGGAGGAGGAGAAGAAGAAGAAGGGCCAAAAAGAAGGAGAAACATAATGAAGAAGAATACCCAAATTCATCTGAGACACCTTGAGATGCCCGTGTTCATCATCCATTTTCGTCCAGAGGCTGCTGCAGTTGTGCCGGCGCCGTGCTTCTTCCGCCGCGAATTCGCCCGGGATCGTGGCCGCCTTCCATGCCTGGTGCAGCTATGGCCGCGCACGTCGCCTGGCCGCGACAGAGGATGCAGACGATCCGTTTCTCCAGTGGTGCGTTTGGTGCGAAAATCGGTGGGTTTGGCGCATGCGGTGTGGCGGACAACTGGAGCAGATGGGAAACACGGGCATCAGCTGGTCATCTGTCATCAGGTCAATTACGGCGTTAGGAGGCGGTCTTTGTTTCGCTTCACCAAGGCCAAGCCAAAGAACAGTTGCGGCGCACGGCGCAGCGCTTTCGCCGGCGCCAGCTGCTGCGGAAGACGCTCCGGAGGTTCCAAGGAGGCGCCTGGGGTCTTGAGAATTGAGATCTGAGGAGTGGAAGACAGAGGTCTTGAAGGATGTTGGCTTTGAAGATGGAAGTCTGAATGTTTCTTTTTAATCCTGCAGTGTCCAGGGTACTCTTCGTTGACCCTGGACACATCGAAGAAGGACTGTGAAACCATTTGTCTCGCAGGAGTTGAAGAAGCACGAGACGCTGAGACGAGAGCTGGTCGTTTTCATGGTCTGAAGGTGCCTCTGCTTGAAGCTAGAGATTTTGAAAGCACAGGTCGATCGACAATCGGTTAGCCTCTTCTATCGGTTGGGTTTGAAACGACCTTGATTCAAGTTCTTTCTGAGGCATCAAACGAACACAAGTATTGGTAATGCCTTACCCGTGTGGAGTGAGGCGATGGTATGTGTTGCAAGGTGTTTTTCGATCAGTGGCAAGTTGTTGCTATTCAATCGCCCTTTTTGGAGCACCGAGATGTATCAGATTTCTTAGTCACATTCCAAGTCACATTTGCAAATGGACATATTTGGACATCCAATATCTGCTTACGCATCAGGCACGCATCACGTGGCCCACCTGCGAGAGCCCCTCTCCACGTCCTTCGTCCCACCTGTCCTGAGGCTGGGCAGCTGACCAAGCAGCTTTTCGGGTCATGGCAGCAGCTGGTGGATTTTGGCCGCGGCAGTCGAGCGGATGGGATGAGATGCCAACAGCTACAGATGAAAGCCACTTGGATTGACATCGGTGGAAGAATTGGGGGATTTTGTTGTATGTTTGGGACTTGAAGACATACCCAAGTGGTAGCCGCACTCGAAAGGTTTCGTGCGGTGATTGGAGGAGTTGAAGTAGTGGAAGGGGCAGGTCGTGTTTGGGGTAATTGGTAGGATCAGAAACAATGATTGACAGAGCAAAACCTTGATCCGAGAAGAACATAACATATGTCTTTTGACTTTCAAGCTATCTGTGGTGGGTGACCAGTGACCGCTAGCCAAAGCATTACACAAGAGTTTCTCTCAAAATCACGCCCTGCTACTACCCTCAAGGCATGACTGCGCAGGATCCTTTGGCCAGGACAGTGTGGGAAACCAAAACCACCACCCAGAGCCACCAACCGAGACCTATTTCAGACCCCTTTGGGCCAAGACTCGCATGTCAGCTTTTTCAAAAAGCCCATCTGGCTGCGCTACGGAGACCGGATCTTGCCGGACCAGAAGGAGTCAACACAATAGGCACAACGGAAAGGCCTTGGAGGTCCTTCGTGCCGAGGCCTTGAGTGGCTTTCAGCTTTACCAGGGCTGGCGGCGTGGGAAGATCGCCGCACAGGCCACTGCCAGGACCGTTGTGCTCTCTTCGCAAGTCGATGAATTCCAGCCGTGTGATTTGCTGATTTACTTCCGTGTGGTGGGCCATGTGGTGGACAGGAGCCACCAGCGGATGCAGAGCATCAAGCGTTGCCTTGACACCTTCAAGAGCTTCATCGACATGAGGCTCACCAGGGTATATTGATGTCAATTCCGGGGTATGATGACCATATCCCATCCACAAATCCAACATCACAACAACCAGTAAAGGGTGTTGGAACATCCACATGACTGGAGGAAAAGAACCCAAACAGATTTTCGTTGTGTCTTTTCTGTTTTTTTTTGTTTTCGTCGTTTTCTTCCGTGGCCACCTCCCTCAGGCGCCGTACGGCGGCCGCTCGGGCGGCGCTCCACCGCTCCACGCGGCGGCGGCGCCGGAGTGGCGCCGTGGGCGCCTGGCGAGCGCGAAGCGTGGAGCTGCGGAGCGCGCGGAGGCGGTGTTTCTGGCGGTTTCCGGGGGTGGAGGAGCCAATCTCAGTGTCGTTTTTTGGTGGAAGGAGGCCATCGCTCTTAATTAGGTTGGAGGCCATCGCTATTAGGTTGGAGGCCATTATTCTTAGGTTGGAGGCCACCGCCCTTAGGTTGGGTCGCTAGTAGGTTGGAGGTCTAGGAGGTACTGGGAGGTACAGGGACTGGAAATTGTTTGTGGAGCAGATGGAGGGCAAAATCCTTTTCGTTTTGTTCTTCTGGTTATACATTATAGCTGGCTTGTCATTATGATAGAACGATACGTGCCAAGAAGAGACATGTTACACATAGCGGTAGAGGTTTCACTTGACAACTGACCGAGTTATCCATCAACTACAGCTTGAGGTTGTACAACGACTTGTTGCCGCATTTTGGATTCGAGTGACCAAATGTTCTTTTTGTTGTATGTTCTTTCCAAAGTATTGAGTGATCCAGCAAGAACATGCAAACTGAACTTCTGACCAGACCCTGTCCTTTCTCATCGCCTTGAGTTCCAGTGTGGAGGCTTCTCATCGGTTTTCTGTGGCTCACTTATATAGTATGTCTTTGAAGCTTTCTAGTAACTAGAAGCTACTAGGTGGAGGCCATCGCTAGTAGGTTGGAGGCCATTGCTATTAGGTCGGAGGCCATTGCTAAAACAAGAAAAGGAAGAAAGGTCCAATGATATAAATTCCCACTTGCCACCGCTCACAGGGAGATCGGTCCACCGACAGCCTTGCAAGGCAGGATGAGATGACAGCAATGGCTCATCACACAAGGTGCCCTGCTCGAGAGCATTTACAGCATAGCTCTGGGACTCTTGAGTTCGGGTAACAAAAGAACAGTCTTGAGATGATGGGTTCTGTCTCGAAGAAGATAGTTTTGTCAATTCAAAGCTGATGGATCGTGGGATCCAATGCCCCTTTCCAAGGGCCATCGCTCATTCATTCTACCATGTTTGCATCCAACCCTACACCGCTAATGATGTTCTCAACTGGGAAGTTCACGAAGTCTCGAGTGAATTCAACACCTCATTTGCACCCAACGTGACAATCTATTGCCCTTTAAAGAAACTTCAAAGTGCAGGGACTCCCATTGTTTTGGAAAAACCCAGCACCTACAACCAAACCAGTAGCCTTCGAAACACCATTATGAAAACAGATTGACCTAGCTGGTGTTGTAGTCTAAAACCCTTACTCAAACAATGGCTCTTTGGTCAATGACAAAAATCAACATCAGGCCAACAAAAAGCCAGATTTAAACAAACCACCGCTGACTCGACGGACTTGACATTCTAATTCTTTTCTGAGTCTCAGTTCGTCCGAACGGTTCCAGTGACAGCTGCAGGTGCCTTCTGCAGGACCTGTGGCACCTGTGGCTCTTCCGCAGCCGCCAAGCGCTCCAGAGCCGGCAGCGGCTCCGGCGGCTCGAGCTGTCGCTGGCGCGCCAGGCGGGGCAGCGACGGGCATCGATGGACACCGATGTGGGCATCGGTGAAGACATTGCAATTGAGAAGTGAAACATGTTTTAAACCTCTTCAACTAGAAGTGGTATACATATAATGAGCAAGTGGTATACCAAGTGTGGGGTATGAAAACAAAGTTTAAGCACTTGACACATTTTCTAGACAGTGTTATGTACGTTAATGAAAGACCTTGCAAATGGCACATGTTGGGTACATTGGAGAGTCTACACTTGGTTGCTTCAATGCAAACAACTGACAAGTAACATTGCCAACAGGTGGCTTCCCAACTGAGGCTAATGGTTGATCACTTACAGGTTTGAAATCACTAATTCACAAGCAGGTAATGCCCCAGCCATGCAACATGCCATGGCCTATGGGGGGCAGGCATGTTGAAATTGTAGCTTTCTAGACTCATGACTTTTAAGTGTCTTAGAGGAGCCTCCTAAAATTTAGCCAACCTTGAAAAGGAGGCTCCTTTAATTTTAGTTATGTATGCTGGGGCCTGCTTCCAGCAAAAAGAACTGGTAACAGTAATGTGGCTGAGGCTGCAGGGGGGAAGATTGGGCCTGGGCACGCAATCAGAAGCCTTATTACAAACTCAAATGTATTGTGTAAAGCAGGCCCTGGATGTAACACTTTAGCTGCTTCATGGCCAGTGCAAGTGCTTGAGACCAGCATACTCCAACATGTGGTGTTGAATTGGATGGTTGAGGTGTCTTTGCACAAGGTCAGGCAACACTTTCCCAAATCAACTTTTATAGGGCTGGTAGCATCACCAAAGCAGAAACACACATGAATTACCCTAGGTTGCAGCACATGTAAGCTTTGATGTTGCAAGACATCATTGGGTAGAAACACATAGTGACATACTAACTAGTGGAAATTGTTCTAAGTTTGTAAAGCTGCCTTTCAGTGTGCATTACACCAGTCCACAGCCCCTATCCAATGCAGCAACCCAGGCCACCCCCCCTCCCAACTCACTCTTTGGCACAGAGCTCTGTCCAAATTTCAGTGAGACAGGTGAACAGCAGTCAGTATGCTTTTTTTGAACACCTGAACTCCTGAACACCTGAACTCCTGAACACCTGAACTC